CTTTCATGAAATTGCAGTATTCAGACTTAAGTAGAGAATTCTTTGTCAGTTTTGTTTCTAGACTGTATAGTCTTTTCAGAGAATTTCTTTCAGAGTCACCAAGATGCTTTGGCTCACTTTTAAACGGTAGGCGAACAACGTACTGGCCGCTCTCAAGTCTGTAGTGAGTCTCTGTAAAATGCTTTTCACAAGCTAAATCTTCTGGGTTTTCTTGGACTGGGATAGAAGCAGGTTCCTCGAGTTCCCAAAATCGTTGCAGCTGATTATGAATGTCATCTTTATCATAAGCAAGGGTGAAGAAAGAAGCATTCATACTAGCGGATGATTGACAGTCAAGAACTCTCCCAATAGCAATGTAGCCAAAGACTGATGCAAACAGCTTGGGTTGGTTTTCATGAAGAGTAATCGAAGATCCAAGCCAAACATCTGGAAACAAGTCAGAGCCCAATAAAAACTCAATAGGTCCAGGTTCCCAAAACTTAGGGTCTGCTAGTTCAAATTTGGTATATTCCGACCATAAGTTTGTAGGCATAGTGAAGTTGGGTAGGTGTGAAGTAATATTGTTGATCACAACAGCTTCTGTTTTGAGGATAGGGGTTTCCTGATTTTTTTTTTGCTTCAGATGACAAAGTGCCTTGCCTTTTGCACCATCAAATATGGTCTGGCCAATAGCCGATATCTTCTTTGGATATGGAGTTGTCGATAAACCAAGTTTGGTGAGGCATTTGTGAGTTATGAAGGAATGTTGACTTCCTGAGTCTATCACTAAACGTATGGGTTGAAATCTTCCTGAAGCATCTTTTATCTCAGCAACTACAGTACCCAGCAATATGTTGCTATGTTGAGGAAGAGTTGCAGTCAAAGACGAAGTTGGTGCACTAGTAGCATTATCTTTCGATTCTTCATCAGTTGAGGTTGGAATATGTAGTAACGAGTGGTGTCTCTTCTTGCAAAATTTACAAGTCCACTTTGAGTTACACTTTCCTATAGTGTGGTTTGCATACAAGCAATTTTTACATCCATGCCAATTTTTTAACATCTTGTGTCGCTCATCAACTGTTGCATTCATAAAATCTTTACATCTCCAGAGTGTATGACTACCACTGTTGCATAGAAAGCATGTGGAACCTTTATTGTTATCTTTCGATTGCATGTTATTTCCTGGTGAGTTAGCCAAGAGTGTAGCTCGCATACCACTAGAAGATCTAGTATTATATCCTTTAATAGCGCCACTAGGCTTTGCAGAGTTATTGTCATGTGAGGATTGATGAGAATTTCCAAGGGCGAGCTGTAATGCTAGGCATCGTTCCCGTAGAAACTTCGTAAGATCATCAAAGACAGGAAAATCTTTATCTTTGTGTTGAAGTTCAAACTGTTCTCTGGTCGCAGAATCTAATAATCGAATAGCAATATGAAACAATACAAAATCTGCTTCATTTGGAATTTTTAGCAGTTTAAATGCTGCAATATTGTCTGAAACTAGTGATACAAAGTTCTGTAGAGAATCAATGGTAGGCTTGCCTTGCTGTGGGTTAAACTGGATGAGCTGATTTAAATAGTTAGAGGCTAGCATACGTTTATTATTAAACGTGTCATTCAATGCCTTCCATGCCAAGTCATAATTGTCTTCTATTAATGGCAAGTTACTTATAACTGCAGAAGCTGTGCCTACAAGTGAGGAAACCAGGTAATGAAATTTCTCCATTTTAGTCAACAAAGCATCATTATGAATAATTGATAAGAATGCATCACGGAATTTAGGCCAGTTTGTAATTTGTCCGTTGAAGTGGGGCAGATTGATCCGAGGTAAAATTTTATTTGATCTGTTTTCAGATGATACAACTGATTCATTAGGATTAATGCTTTGGCGTGAGGGAGGTGATGTTGTCTGAACAAGAGCCATAAGTGCCTCATAGCTTGTGTGTGCCTCGTAGTAATAACGTTTGGCCTTGGTTTGCATAGTCAGATCTGCTTCGACAGGAAATTCTGAGACTTTTCCTTCATCTTCATGTAGGTCAATAAGTTCATCCCAGTACGTTTCAAATTTCGAAAAATATTTCTCTAACACCTTGAACATACCCTTGAATAAGTTTACTTGAGCAGGATCTTTGAGAGCTGCCCTACCCTTCTCATTAATAGTTTGGACTTCCTTTGCACTATCTGATAATTTTCTCTTCAAGGCAGAAACCTTACGCTTAAAATCTTCTGCATCCATTTTCCCCCTCAGAAATTGAATACCAAGAGAAAATTTAAATAATCAAAGGCACAAGAATGTTTGAGCAATCTTTACACAAGTATGAACATGACAAGTGCTATATTCTTCAATATAGTAAAAAAATCAACAAAGAATTAAGAATACCATTAATTCATAGTGAAAATAGGTCAAAAAATTCATATCATGATTTGCTAAATGATTCAATACAGATTGTATATAATATTACAGTAGCACATAGAACAAGATTGTAGAATATAAATCAGCAATATTTATTTGTGTTAAGAAACTATTTGGCATAAGAAAATATTTTCAGATTAAATTCTCAAAACAACCCTAATAACTCTTAAAAATTATCAATAAATCACAAATCCAATACTGGAGAAATGTATGAGCGTTTTACGATTAAATATCTAATTTAATCAAAGATCAAATGAATACCAAATATTTTATATGATAACTACCTTTAAACAAACAAATTCTCAACTGTAATCTACAATAACCTTCAAATACAATTAACCTTACTTTGACAATTTAAAAATGACCTTAAATATGTTTCTTTAAAAGGATATTTTAATTTACAATTTTTTATTTATTAACAAATGACTAAGTTAATCCGGCTCGAAGGACCAATATGTTTGAACAAAGGGGAATTAAAAATTAAATTCCTGACTTTGCTACCAAACTGAATAATTGCTGGTTCAATAGATATTTGTTAATATAGTAGAAATCAAGTTTATTGATCTGTCTAAACAGTGAGTTACTACCTACTGGAAAAATAATAAATTCATTTGAGTTCAGAAAATATTATAATGATACAAAATTAAATTAACCCTTTACAAATCAAATCAAAACTATTCTCTTGATGAGATATTTAAGTCCAAATTGGAATAGACAGAGAGGAATGATGTGTAGAGATGTACTCACGACCTTGAAGAGAAGAAATTAATGAATGTTCGTTAATACCAAGTAATGGAGATTAACACTTGTTGAGAAAATAAAATATAACACTGTGTGCACACAAACTTCTGGTGAATGTTCCTCACGGTTAAATAAAACTTCTGTAGAAACAATAGAGTCAATAATTGATGATTTAATATGGGATACTGAGACCCATGGTAAAATAATTAGAGGGATTCAGAGACCCTCAATGATGTTTGATTCACATGAAGACTGCATAGTAACTGAGTGAGTTGGAGAAGTGTACAGGAAAAACCACTGGTCAGTCTATATCATGTCGGCTGGAACTGATAAGCAGGATACGCAGCACATTCTCCTCTGCATTGTCTGCCTATCTCTCTCTCTCTCTCTCTGTCTGGCTTAACTTAATACAACTTTATTTTATGAACTCACTTAAAATATTATTCTGAATTGAACCAAAAAGAGCAGTTATTTATTTACACACAAAACATTTAAATATCTATTATTTAAATGACAAAGCAAGTATTATTTTATTTAAAATAAATTTAAGTTTGGACCTAATTTGAGAATGCTCAAACAGTTAAAATCACAAACACATAACAGGCCCAAATACTTTGAGTTTCTCTCTAATTTTGAAACTATTTCTAACCAAATTAATTCATAAGCAATTCGTGTTTGCTGCTATGTCAGTGTTTTTATAAGGGGTTGCAGGGAATATGTGCAAATCAAAATCAAGGATAAAGCCGAATTTAACCAGTACAATTCAGATTTATCAGCTGCCAAATCAGGCGTGCCATAAGGCTAGGTTCTTGGACCCCTGTTGTTCCTTATATACTTATATAACTGTTGTTCCTTATATAGATGGAACCATTTACAGTTTATTGTCTTTTAGATGCCCACATGTGCTTATTTGACCTATTATGTCTGGGTAGGCGAGTGGTTATGGTGCTTGTATTAAAATCTAGAGGTCGCTGGTTAGATTCCAAACGAGATCGTTAGAGGTAGAGACCTAGAGGTCATTAATTTGGCATACCTATACATTTGTATATTTTTAATTCGTGTAAACCGACTCTTGATCAGATTGAAACGTTTTCTTAACGATAACTTCTTGAGAACTCAATCATGCCCTAGTGAATTTCCCATAAAGGGAATAAGCTATTTCAAGGTTACTTTGTTTTAGTAGATCTAATATCAAAACTATTTTACAAATCACATAAACAAGACGTATTTTAAATAAATCTAAATATACTACTTAATCCGTGTTAAATCTCTAAAGTATATTTTAAGAGTCTTTGAAATCCTTTCTAAACACGATCAACATTTTCACAGATTTCCAAACCGAGACTTTCAACCCTCGAACAAAACTTCAAAAGCCTTAAACAAAATTAACAAAGACAGGAGTTTTCAAAGGGCTTTCAAAGAGTTACGACTTTGCATGCCCTACACTAAAAGGGCCAGAACAAAACAAACAGAACAAAGACCATCTTCGGCCAGAAAACGAAGGAGTCCCAAAGAGGGTACAATTAAAAGCGATACGGAGTCGTACAAAGCACAGGATGATTAAGGACGAAATAAGGATTGTTTTATATTAAATCTCCCAAACAGCGTTGATCAGTCTAAGAATATCTGTTTCGGATGCTCCGGGCGACCTAGGGTGTGGGGAGGGGGGAGGAAAAGCGTGCGTCTGATTGGTCAACATTGATTTTTCACTTGGCCCCGCCCACTGCGGGGGAGGCGACTCGTCCAACCCGCGAACAGAACGTCAACATTCGTTCGCTATCTGTCGAGAGTGCAGCAGTAGACCCGTGTAGGGTGGTGAGTGTTTGGCATCATGTGTGTGACGTGATCTAACATGCTGGACATCAAGACATCAGCTGACTACCTCAGTCGCACCCCCACGTTCACCAACTTCTCCATGCTGTTTGGTATGTCAAGTGAATAAATACTAGGTAAAATCAACTCGTTTATTGTCAACATTGCAAAACTTATCGTCGTACAAGTGTAACTAATAGTTTACCAATGTTTAGAAACAAAGTATTGCCTTAAAAGTTAGGTGGTGTTTAGTTAGGTTGTAAAATAGCTTAAGGAAATTTAGCCCAAGTTAATTAGTGTTTATAATGTTTTCTTTCTACCTCACAGAAATTTACTGTATTTTTTTATTGTTTTTACGGGATGTGCATATGCTAACAATTTAAAACCACATCCTGTTCCTAATCACACTTCAAACTTCAGAATAATTTCTAAACAAGAAAGACACAATGTAGGTTGATTCTCCAATATTGCATATATCTAAGTATTTATCATTTTATTTTTACATCCAAACTGTTATATATTTTGTCTACACGGTTTATATATATATACTGTAGGGATAAAAATATAGCCAAACAAAAATAAAATAAAGGCACAATAAGTCCTTTAAATCTGCTTGAAAAACTGATACAGTATTATTACCATTAGTTATAGAATCGTACTTGTTCTCTATTATAAATGGCATCTAGGCCATTTCCTATTTTCCTATTTGTAGCTACTTAATGTAAAACGGTGTTTGCCGTTGGTGTTCAATAAATAAATAAATCTTAGAGAATAAAACTTACTATTTACCTCTACAAAATATTGTATCGGGGGAAGTATATAGAAGTGAAAAATATGTTTTACCAACGGTCACTTGATTGTATAACGTTATCATTTCAGTGACAGTTTGCAGAACGAATCTTTCTCTAAGCAGCCGATTGATATTCAATTGGTTAAATATGTATGGTAAAGCCTTTAAAGAAATGATCCCACTCAAAATTAAGGGTAACGTTAGTTTTTTTACAAACAAGTTAGGTCCGGTTTAAATAGACACAGATATGTTTTAATGTTTAGGGATCAGAAAAAGAGGGGGGTAAAAGAGTATATTTTGGTTGGTGCTCTAGTTTCCTGTAGTAGACATCCTACTCCTAATAAAGTGATGTCCTCAAGAAGTAGACACCCACTTCAATATTTCTACAGCTTTATTAGAAAACTTATAACATGTTGCTTCAAATAGATTGTAACCCTGTTAATTATTTTTATATCAATCAATAAAAACAACATGTCATAATTCCAAACATGTATAATTGTTGTATTTGGTTATTTTAATTTATTGTCGCATATTGATTCATAAACTATTTCATCTAAAACTACAATCTGATAAAGCATGCAGTACTTTTTACCAACATTAACTTTTCACTATGTATTTATAATAATCATTATAATATCAATATTTATGAGAAATAATCTATTTAAGTAAACCTCTTACAAAGTAAGTCAAACTAACAGATTTGCTGTTCCTATCATAGTTGTTAGAGTTTAAAGATTTAGTAAAATAGCTACGCTCAAAATTTTACTTTTTAAATATACAAATTACACCATACATTAGAGTGTATAATAAAGCGTCTTTTGTCATCTAGTTAGTATGCTTTAAAAGTTAACAAAACGTATTATTACTTAAATTTGATATCAAATATACAGGAATAGTGTATTTCATGTAGTATATTTCATGGTGTATTGCATTCATAGTATTTAATGACAGAAGGGTGAGGTAAATTTTCAAAGTTAATAAAGAATCACCTACTTCACAAAATATACTTTTAACCATACTACCTAATACTACTATACCAACGGATAATATGTTAATAACATACTTTATGCTTTATTATTTAACTGGCTGCTGTACCCGTGCTTCGCAACGGAAAGAAAGTTCAGTTTCGAAGAACGGGTGTCCCCTTTATATCATACCATATCTTGATAGCTTAGTTAAAACTATCTCTGGGTTAATGCAGCAAGGGTTATAGAACATTTTTCATTTCCATAATCAACGACATAGTTTTTGAATAAATTGTGAATTTTCTCATGCTTCCATGGAGACCAATTATTTACTTTTAAAAACCTCACCTCAAAACTTTGGACATCCCAGGGGCGTAGCCCGAGAGGAACTCAGAGAAGTGAATAGTCATAAGACATTCCTAGATATGTGGACCATCTTTATGCTTAATTTTGGGTGTATCGGTTTGGTATTTTAGTCGAGAGCCACACAGACAGACAGACATACAGCACCTCAACTTTATAGTAGTACTAGCTGATGTACCCGTGCTTCTCAACGGGAAGATGTACTATACTAATCCAAACAAAGCAGTTCGAATTTATAAACCACCAAATTTTTACAACAAATTATAACCTAAATTGTAGTTACTGTTTACATGAAAATATATCAATAACATTATGTTTATAGTCTATTTTTCAGACAGACACCACCTCAATTTTATGATAGTATAGATAGATTAAAACACTTTTACTGGAGCCTTATTATACTTTGACACACAAACATGATAAATATTATTATTTATTATCTAAATTATTATGTACTATTATTCTAATGCCAATTAATATTTTTGTAATACCAACTGTTACCAACGAGTTTTCTAACAGTATGCGAAGATTTAATCTGGGATTCACATAAGCTGAGAAAGGTTTTAAAGAAACATGTTTGCCTATTAATATATAGATATGCTTTATTCTGGGTTACATAAAAAATGATCAATTTCACTTTAACCCCGATTGAAAATCCCTAGGAACACCAAAATCCTAAAAACTAATTAGGTTGTGGATAATTCACAGAAATCCCCAGATTAAATCCAATACGGATGTACTTTCCCATCAATCATTCATTCAAACGTAAATATGCATTTTATAATTAAATATTTGTCTCCTAAGTAAAATATTAAACATTCGACACTATAAATGAACTATGAAATAATCTATATATTAATAGGCAAGCATCATTCTTTAAATCCTTTTTCTCAGATCGTGTGCATCGCAGGGAAAATCTACGCATATTGTTAGAAATATATGTTCCTGTATATGTGCAGAATCCCTTTAAAAATTAAAATAGGCTCAAACATAAGCACAAAAAATTTATTTGAAATTAAAAAAAATTAACATGGGCTTAATGGGTTGTCATTCTGGTGACGAAATAACAAAGAAATATAAACAGAAAATCAATACAAATTGAACAAATTACAATCACATGCTTTATTTACAGTGTTGTGGGAAAATAGAGAAGCCTGTACCTTTGACTTTCCACTAGACATTCCATCCCCATGTTAAAGTTGTCGCCAGTTTTTAAATTTAATTTATCGTAGTCGATGTGGCCCACGAAAAGATTGCACTGATCTAAATGACTAATTTCTGTCGAATGCACGATGTTTTGAGCCACCAACAGATTGCCCTGTTCTAAATGACTAATTTATGTTGAATACACGATGTTTTTTACTAAGTCAAAATTGTGGAATGACTTATTATGAGCTATAGCAACTGTTCATATCAAAAAAGGTAGAAAATATTATTTTAGACACACATTCTGTGACTGGCTAACACAACTACATTTTTTTTTAATTGCGGCAGCTGGTCCATATAGATGGAATGTCTACTTCAGTATCCAATCAATGCGTGTATATTACATATTTTTGGTCGAGTTTTCGACCACTGGACGATAGGCAACAATGATTCTTTAATACTGTTTTTATCCGTGTGCATCGCAGGGAAAATCTACGCATAGGTACTATTGGAAGATTCTTTCCTGTAGATGTGCAGAATCCCTTCATAAATTAAAATAGGATAAAAAATAAGCACGATAAATGAGTTTAAAATTTTAAAAAATTACATGGACCTTATGGGTTGCCATGATGGTGACAAAATAACAAAGCAATATAATAAGAAAATCTAAACCAATGGAAGAAATTCCAATCACATGTTTTATTTACAGCGTAGGGTGAAAATAGATAAGTCTGTACATTACATATATTTGGTCTAATTTTCGACCACTGGATGACCTCTAGTACAAAATAAATGAATATTTTTCTCTTAAGCGAAATATAAAACATTTTACGATGAAGTGAGTTTGTGAACTCTTGTGGACAGCTGTTGTACAGAGGTTTGAGGGTTGAAATCCGTGGACCAAATAATGAACAGCTGATATTCAGGTGTGCCGCGCAGGTGTGGCAACTGACCAACGTTGAATATCATTATTGTTGAAATTGTTTTCACATTGTACAGTAGGGCTTAGAATTTTACATATATTGGTCTGGTAATCAGTCTCAAAATTATGTTAACGATTTTTTGCGTTTGGTTTTTTAGTGATTACAGGTAACTGAAACTTTATTAGTTACACCTTAATAGAAATTAGAACTTAAATAATAATATAGTCTATAAGAAGCAAATTCAAATAATTCCATTTTCAGCCGAAAAACTGGATACTTCAGGGCAATATAATTGAAATGACGTGTACGGCTTCCTAATTAAATAGTAATTGTTGCAGTGTGATGTATTCACTAAGCGATAAAATATAGCAGTGATAACCCTGGAAGATATAGGCCTAAAATAAATAATAAATAATAGTCAATGACCGGTCCTACGTTTATTCTATCATAACATGTTATGGCTTATTTCTTTACTATCTTGATCCAAAAAGAAAAAAAATTGAAAACCGAACTGAAAGGTTCTCGTTCAAAACAAAGCTGAACTAAATAATTAAAGAATAAAAAAACTGTTACGATTAATATAAATACCCGAATAAATCAGCCTTTTAGCAATGCGTTAAAGACAGTATTTTATCAAACAAAATTGTACATATTTAATATATCATAACAAAATAGCTACTGGGTTTTTCAAACTAATCTTCTTTTCACAGGCATGTACAACAAATACCTAATCAATATTATACACCGTGTCCCAAAAAAAAACTTAACAATTTTATTTACTTATAAAAAGTTTATTAACAATCACACGATAAACTAATTACATTTTAACTTACATAAATATTCCTAAGTTTTGTTTGATATCATATGTGTTATGTGTTAATGATTTTCAACATGGTTGCCATTGTTGGCAGAAAGATAGTCAATACGGCTGTCCAATTCAGCCCACACTCTATGGTGCATTTCGTCAGTAATGTTAGTAAAGGCTGCATTTATTCTTTGTCTCAATTCTCGGACATCGGAAACTTCTGTCTTATAAACTTATAATTTTGACAAATTTAACTCACATGCTGCACAGCGAACAGACTTTCGAGGGTCGTGAAGAAATAATTGTTGCACGTTTTCAATCAATTCATTTTGGATTCTCGGCCAACCTTTACCTTTTAAATGTTGTAAGCTTCCAGTTAACATAAATTTGTCATACCAGGCTCGAATGCTGTTCCGTGATGGAGGACGTCGACCATAGCGTCTTCTAAATGTTCTTTGCACTGCAATATCTGACTTACTTTGAATGTACCACTCAACGCATTGCGCTTTCTCTCGTGCGTTCAAGGTGCCTGCTTAATGACAGGGCAATGTTTTTAAATTTCAAGTTTCAATCGACAACAATGAATCAGCTGATAGTTACAATTGATATTGAACAAAACTTCATGAGCTCAGTTATTATATGATCACCTTCAAAGTAGACTAGATATGCCTGGACGTATTATATAACAATTTAAAATTATTCATTTTTTTGGGACACGGTGTATTTCACTGAAATATATAGCACACTTTGTGTATTGACACTTATTTTATGTACAATATTAATCCAGTGTGAGGTTATAATCAAGTCATACAATTTGTGTACTGTCTCTGACTCAGACCAGCTATTTACTTATCCAGGACCATTGATTAAAAGTCAAACGAACGAGGACAGCTCAGCCATAGAATAACCAACACAAGACTTCCCATCCCGTTGTAAATTTTGAAGCTGGTTTTTCGTGTCTAGTTCATGTCCGGTGACACTGGTGGCTTGTGTCGACGAAATTTTGTTTATATTATTTTTGAGTTATTTTCATGATTTATGCTTTACTGTTTGGTTATATAACTAGGGGATGAGTCATTGTTTATGATTATATCGTTTTATTTGTTTAAACGAGGTTTCAAATTACTGAAATTACAAGAAACAAAATGTAAACAAAATACAACCTCTATAGTGCATCGGACAGAGCTAACGATAAAATTGGCTTCAGTTGGTCTATAAGGATGAAAAAATATACTTTTAAGGGAGAATGTTTTATCTATGGGTCTGCCCATTTTTTAACCATCAAAATCCTTTGTTTCGTGTTAAGATTAAACCGGTGACTTGGTAATTATTGGCGAGCGCTAAAACCACTCAGATGCATATCCAGTTCAATAACAAATCACATCAAAACACTATCTCGATTCCACGTTCACATTGCAGAATGGAGAGTCCGCAAGCGATATAGGTTAAAAATAATTGAGTGATTAAATAATTGAGTGCAGCTTGAAAAATCACTTACTCCTAGTGATGTTTTAGGTTTTACATTTATTACGTAAAACACTAGGTACTTAACAACAACAAAATATTAAAAGCTTATCTTTGTTACAGATACTTCGTACAAAGGTTCATGGACGGCTCATACACCTACACCTACACAAGGTAAGACTTGATAAAAACGTATGGTTATTACAGTTACCGTTACCTGAAAATAGGCTATTTAGTTGATTACCACATTTCGGATCTATTTTGCGCACTGGGCCATAAGTCGGGTGAAAAATATCTCTTTTGCACATCAAACCCTGAGGGGCCGAGATATCCTGTCAGTCAGTTCTATTTTTCGCTTTTTGGCGGCCTCTTTTGTAAAATATATCTTTTTATACTCTATGAGTTTGCATCTATCTCTATCATCTAAGAAGTTTAAGTCGTCTAACATGAAGAGTTGAATGGGACAGAGTTATTGCTTCTTGATGCTTTCTTATTGAATAACGTACTCGATTGTTAACTAAATTTCTACGCTATCGTAGTACACATACTAAATCGTTATACGATGTCGCTTAAGTACTGTATTAAGCTTATTGTTTTCTATGGTTATTTTCTAAATATTCTATAATGAGCGTATTGAAACATATAACAGTTTAATCTCAATTCAAAATATTTACGGTTGCCATTTTTGAAAATTTGCGGCACCTTATATTTTACTAACCTTCACTTTAAGTGCGTATCAATCTTTTTTACATTCAAGATTTTCTTCTGACTTCTAGCGGGCCGTCTCCCAGAGGAGGTAGCATATCACTAAATAATGCGTTAAGTTGATTTTAACTAATGTCTATTGACTTTGTACCATGCGCTCTAGCCTTATCCTTCTAAATGATTGAAATATTCAACAACTGTGCCACGACCTTTTCCCAAAATGTTTAAGTTTATAGGTTTCTAGCCTCAACCAAACTTGAGTATACACGGAAGGGTAGAAAATAATACAGGTGAAAACGAGAGGTTTCATATCTACAAATATTTGTTTACTAGGTGAAACCCGTCGAAATCGACGGTTGCTTTCAAGGCTTACGCTAATTCATCTACGGACAGTTACGTGTAGTGGAATATACCTGAAGTGGAGTTGGCTTTTATTCTTGGTCTGTTAGGGACCTCCTCGTTTATACGGTTGTGCGCCTTCGTTGGCAACAAATAATGCAAATGACAGCAATGCGGAATTTCCAAAAAGCAAAAAATACTGCAAAATGGCAGTTACCTAAATATTGACGTTTACATGCATTGTTAAACAACGTATCTTATAAAGGATGGTGTGATCTAGTTTAAAAGGCATATGACCTTTCTGTCATGACAGTAGCTGCTTAAATAGTATTTACTCTTTGTGCCTTTTTTACAGCCAAAATGTCGTGTTATTTTCAATCATGTTAACAACCCAGTGTGCCAATATCCGTAATATAGGACACTGCAAATAATTGCTCAATATAGGTACCATTTTAGGCAAGTTTTCTGGCTTTGGATGTTATTAGACACAATAAGAACACAATAAACTTCTTCTGCAGATAATAATCCGCTGGAGAAATATAAGCCGAATTATAAATGTTACAATGCGAGTTTGAGCATTTTGTAACTATATGGGTAAGTTACATAGTATTTTTTAGGCTGCTGCTCAGTGCACTTTAAGAATATATTTTTTAGAGATAAATTAAATATATTTTGTTGTTGAGTAGCGCTAGTAAACACGCACAACCCATTTCGTTATTTTAATAACATTCAAAGGCTCTCTAAGAGTTCAAATTTTTATTTGTTTACATATCTATATTTTGTGTTCACCATGCTGAATGAATACACCGAAGTCACCTCTCTGAAAAGTCTGTAGTAAATTGCAGTTTTACAGCATAATGACATTCTAATTGCACATATCTATATATTTAATACGCGACATGAAACTTTGTGAACAATAAGGCTTTTTTGTTTTAAGATTTAACCCCACATATTATATACCAAAATGTTCGTCTATGTGTGTAGATGTGCAAACACGTTTTAGATTTACGAAATATATCTTTTTAAGGGCATGGCCTGCCCACAAAGTTCCTTTCATAAGGATAACATTGTGACTGATTTGAATGTTATTATATTCTGAAACAGATGTCAATAAATTAGTTTAAAAAAATAAATCCCAGCTGTTATGTTTGGTTTTGAAATGTAAACCGTTTGCATGTTTTTAAAAATAATTATAAACCCTGCAAAGAAATTTTACCTATAGGACACGACGGGAGAAATGTTTTATATTATAGTTTCTATTATACATGCCAAGGACCCGACGGAAAAGAAATATTGCCGGTCGGACACGGCGAATCAACATACGGCAAGCAATGCTAAACATAAGGAGCCCAGACGAGGAGCTGGTACAGTTAGTGGCAACGTGTATTTGCTAAATTGTACTGACTAATACAAGAATTCAGCAGCATTCACTTGGCGAGATGGCATTAAAATGTTAGAAATGTGGTGCGCTAAATTTTAAAGAAGAAAAAAGAGGACGAGGCGAAGGATTTTCATCCTGCTGTCATAAAGGAAAAGTGCATCTACCACCATACCGAGAAAGCCGGTATTCATGAGTAATTCAAGAGTAAAAAAATCCAGTACCGGTAGTACAGAGTACAGTTCGTACTTTTCAAACTAAAATTTCCAACGTGTTCTGCGCCAACTCTCGCGCAAAAAAAATTGCAAAAAACACTTTGCAAAACTACAGATCAGGGCAATTTTTTTGACACTTTAATCATCAAAATCGGTCCAAAAATGAGGGAGGAGTTCTGTTTACAAAAATCGGGTTAGCGTATTATATATATAGATTGCGTAAGGGTTTGTTTGGCTGACTAAGTCTAAAACAACCTCAGTCTAGTAGGGTTTCAGCTCTCTTGACTGAAACGTCACGAAGAAGAAGGGTTTGTTTACAAATAGTTGTCAAGCGGAGAATACTTTCACGTTGGCCCCCTGGACTGAAGAAAGCTCAAAACAGAAAGGGTAACTCTAAGAGAAGGGGATAAGAACAGTGACCCTCGTCTAAAGGGTCTCAAATAGTGTGCTAAAGCAGTACGACCTTGGAATGAGAACGGAATGTCTTCCTCTATCCATAGTCATTTAGTAAAAAATAAGGGCAATTCATCTATAATGAAGTATATTAAACCCCTATATATTTGCTAAAGTTTTTCTCCTATCGTACGTGTAGGTACTTATTTGTAATGCATTCACACGTTCACCCTATTTTCACATAAGCTTATATCGCGACAACTCCCCCCCCCCCGTGTCTTTTTACAGATTACTCCCCCCTCCCCACGATGATATCGTACAATATGCCGCTGTCGTATCTTACGCCTCTCCAGCTAATCTACACAACCCTCTCGCGTTCTGCACTCAATTATTTTTCGGATATTATCTCCTCACTTTAATAAAGCGACGTTTTTAAAGAGCCATGTGACACTGGAATGATTTCCCTTGGAGTCAGTGAAGTGGAACCCTTCGGAGTTGATTTAAAATTGTTTCGTTTTGTTTGGAATCGTAGTTAGTTGGTTGAATGTGTAGAATTTTATAAATTTTCTAAGGGTGTAAGGTACCAGCTAATTACAACAAAACTAACTATTTTAATTGAGCCTGTAGCTGCAAAATATCTGAAGTAGTTACGAATAACGCATTATGAGACAAATAAAAGCGTAACATAATCTATTGGTTATTTGAAAAAATAATTTTATGTTTCGATAATGGCAAAATTGTGTATTTTATGATTCATAATGTACGTTTATCTAAGGAAATTTTGATTTTACCTGTTAATGCGAGTAAAAAAATTAAGGAAAAACATTAAAAAATTCATACTAAAAGTAACAATAATAGCTACATATTCCTCGTGCTACTGTATTAGTAACAACGAGTAAAAAATGAGAAATCGAAATGTTTATTCTGAAACGAAATAGACATATTTTTTAATCGGCACACTTGATCGACTCTAGTATAAATCACACGTAACAATGGGCTCCAGATAAAAAACATAAGATGAGAAGTATAATTGAACAACTCAAGAGAATCTTGCCATTCCAATGTAGTAGCATTGACTATACACCTCTAGAGGTGTATAGTCAATGATAGGTAATCATTGATAGGTGATTGATCATTGATAGGTAATCATACAGTCAATGGTAGGTATAGTGACTGCATCAGCGGCCCGCGCCGTGGTATTCTTCCGACGCAATACCCGCAATACACGCGTGGCTCTGTATTGCTAGGCAGCGCCGTTGTATCCGCTGCATGTATTTTACCTGTTTTGCTCGGTTGACAGCGTAAGCAGAATACAGCACCAATAGATTTTGACAACGTAACAAGAAATTTGATTCGAATAATTATTATATATTATTATCACATTAAAGTTACTTTAGTCTAAAAAATTGTACGGGGGCAATTATTACAGTAATATTAATGGGAGAGCTGGATAAAAGTTCAAAAAAACAATCAGGTTCCCCATAATTATGCGATTAAATTTTGTAACTGTGACTGTTTTCTTTGTTAAAATGAGTTAAGAAAACTAAAGACGGACTGATTAAGTCCTGCAATACAGCCGGGAATTTTATCATATTGGTCTACAGAAACTTTTACAGTAGTGTGAGGAAAATGTTGGTCTGGTCAATTGATGCTTGTCTGCGCTTTGGATGACACTTATATTTTGAATGACATATCAATCAAACCACAATTATAGGTAAAATATAAAATTAACCATATTACTGAATACCACAGTTGGATATTCATCTATCTCTAAAGTATTATATCCAATATATTGTAAAGTACTGACAGGATGTGTCCCGTCTACAAAAATAACACTGTGTTAGTTCTCGTACATCAAACTCGGCAGACTTTGGTATATACGCCAACAATCTCTAAGCCCGTCAGATCAATACAAGAAATCTCATCTGAGCTACGAGGAAACTGAATTTTCCGTCTAACAAATTGACTGATTCGGACCACATTTCCTCGAGTGATGGGTTTTCTTGCAGGAAATTTGCCGGGGAGCGGAGTTCTGCTGGTTTCCGCCCCCCGCCCCCTGTGATACTAATTGCCCCACCCTCCCCCACCCCACCCCCGACAATCAGCTCACCGATATCACTAGAGCTCCTCCGGTCTTTTTGTCG